TGCATGCTCTGTGAGAGCGCGCACGCACCCGGCGTGGTCCTTTGCAGGAGCGCCGGCGGCGTCGGCAGTCGCAGGCTTGGCCGCCTCCTCCTTGGCGATTTGCAGCGCGGACATGCCGTTCGCACCGCGAGCCTTCGTATCTGCGCCAGCCTGCAGCAAGCGGAGCACGATGGGGAGGTGGCCGGTGGCGGCGGCGCCCATCAGCGCGGTGATGCGGTTGCTTTCTTGCACGTTGACCTCCGCGCCATGCCGAAGCAGCAGCTCGACCACCCGCTCGTGGCCTTTGATGACGGCGCCCATCAGCGCGGTGGTGCTCTTGCCGTCCTGCAGGTTGGCATCCGCGCCGCGCCGCAGCAGCAGCTGGACCACCCGCTCGTGGCCCTCCTGGGCGGCGAGCATCAGCGCGGTGACGCCGATGTTGTCCTGCAAGTTGACCTCCGCGCCGCGCTGATGCAGCAAATCGACCATACGCTCGTGGCCTTTAGTGGCAGCGTACGTCAGTGCGGTGGCGCCGTCGCTGTCCAGCAGGTTGACTTGAGCGCCGTACTGCAGCAGCAAGGCGGCCACCCGCTCGTGGCCCTGGCCGGCGGCGTCCATCAGCAGGGTAACGCCGGTCACCTCGCCATTCTCGCGCGTGGTGTTTGCTCGCCCGCCTCTCTCGAGCCACGAACGCACCGCCGCTTCGTCGCCACGCAACACCGCGTCGACATGCGGCTCGGCGAAGCTCGACATCGAGGAGGTAAAGAGAAAGCCGAGCGCGCACACGACCAGCGATCCTGTATTGCACACACACACACACACACACACACACACACACACACACACACACACACACACACACACACACACACACACACACACACGCACACGCAAGGGCGAGGACACGCGCAGGGGCCGCACCTCTAGCGAAGCCCACAGAGTGGGAGACTCCTATCACCGCCCTGCCACCCACGTGAGCCTTTTGGCCGCCTCTGTCAGTGTGCCCGTGGTAGTGAGAGACTGCTGGTGAGAAGCCGGAGGAAGGTCGCTAGTCGAGAGAGATCGCCAGTGGAATAGGGAGTCCACCGTGCTGCGAGCCTGTCGCTGTCCCTTGTCAGGAGCAGGAGAACTAGGAGAGCGCAACCAGTAGGAGGCCCGCGCCTGCCCCCGTGCCGCCGGGTGCAACCTGTCCTATACGAGAGAGGAATCCCTGGGACCCTGTCGTGTGGGTGAACCCTGCCCAGCCCCCCTCCGTGTCGCGATGCGCTCCCCGCTCCCGTTCCCCTGTGTCCCTGATCGTCCTTCCAAGATCCTGCTCGTGCAGGTGGGGACCCTGTCCCTCTCCCACCCCTCGTTTGGCGTGCCCGTTTTATTTATTTATTTATTCCTGTATTGCGAATGGGGACTACATGATTACAGGAAGGGTGGAGGGGCCCGTCTGCAGAGCAAGGCGGCGCGGGCACCCCCCACGGGGGCCGTAAAGAGAAAGCGGACACGAAACAAAAACACACGACCTGGGGAGAGAAAGAAAAATACCACCCGTGCGTCCGTGGCACGCCGTCGCAAGCCTCGGCTATCATATGGCTCACCACAGCGCGGGCACAGCAGCTCCGAGGAAGCGCCACCGCATTGATGTGCCGGTGTGCTGGGGCAGCATCCTGGGCGGCTCGTCGGATTGCGAGGCCGTGCCTTCGAAAATGGGCGCGTTTCGAGAGAAATTTTGCGCCGTTTGCCGCAAGCGAGGCGTGCTCGTCCCTACCACGCGGGTGCGAGTGCCGGTCGGTCCGATGAGCGAGCTCGCCAACCAAAACACGGAAGGCGTGTGGAACAGCCCAACCACCGCCTCGCCGTGGCCGCCGTATCGCGTCGTCAACCAGACTGCCGAGTCAAGCGGGCCAAAGCTGGTGATTTTGAAGGACGAGTGCTCAGAGCCCCTCCCGAACCTCGTCCACCTTCCGCTCACCTCCTCGCTCGAGTGGCTCACGCCCAGCGGGCAGGTCCGCCACAACTCCACTCCCCCGTGTCCCGACGCCCCGCGCACAGATGCCCATCTCCCCGCCCACAGGTCAGCTTTCGGGTCGGGCGGACGCTCAAGCCGATGGTGCCCATTCCGTGGGGCTGGGCGGAGCCCGCGCCGTCGCCAACGCTTGAGCGGCAGCCGCATGGGCAGCAGATCGCCGTCCTGGAGCCCCCGTTCGCGTCTACGCCCTCCCCGCCGCTCGCCTCGGCGCCTCCTCCGCCGCTCGCCTCGGCGCCTCCTCCGCCGCTCCTGAGCCACGCCGCCGCGGCGCCCGCGATGGCCGCCAGCCTCGAGCGTGAGGAGGTTCGGGAGAGCCTCATTGATGCGATGCTCGCCATGCCCTCTGTCAACCTGCTCGTTGCCGCGGCACCCGCCGCAGCGCCCGCCGCGGCGCAGTTCGCAGCGCAGTCGTGGTCGCAAGAGGAGGATTCGTGGCCGCTCGCGGTGGGGGTGGCGCCGCGCGAGGAGGAGGATCTCCCGGACGTGGGAGACGCAGCGAGGAGCCCCCACCCACCCACCCACCCACCCACCCCCTCCCCCCACCTCCCTCCCCCCACCCCTCCCCCCACCCCTCCCCCCACCTCCCCCCACCTCCTTGAGACGCGTCCGTCCCCTCGGCTTGCCCCGCAGGATCGCAGCCTTGCAAGCCTTCCTCGGGCTGGCTTCCGCGCCGCCCTCCCCCCCCGCTGCCGTTGCACTCTCGCAGCCGCCGCTGCCGCCGCTGCCGCCCTCCCGGTGGCACACCGGCGCATGGCATCCGGCGGCATTCGACGCCCGCGCTGGCCGCTGTCCCTGACGCTGTCCAGACTTGACGCGTAGGCCTGCTGCTCCAGCTGGCGCAGGCCGCCGCCGCGGCGCTGGCGGTGTTGCTGATCGGGCAGACGTCG